AGAGGTCCTGTTTTTTTTTTTTTTTTTTTTTTTAGTTTTATTCATTTCAAACGGGCCGGATCCGGCCTGCGGGCCGTAGTTTGCCCACGGCTGATCTATACCCTCATTGGGTCACTTCCAGAACACACGTGTGAATTCAAAGTCCTGTTCTTCATGAGATCGCCTCGGTACCACACGTGAAGCACTGGTCGCGCCTTTGGGAAGGAGCGGAGGGAGAATGTCTGTTCACATGACTGGGCTGGACGATGAACAACGTCTTCACTGGAGTCATGTCCCTGAACTGACATCATTCCAAATTGCGAGCTGCATCCACATTGGCTCCTGATGAGGTTTCAGAATGCACCCAGCACCCGCCTCCCCCGTTTCATGATACCTGTGAGGAGGAGGGACCGTCAGAGAGAAGGATCTGACCCTTTGTGCACTGTGTCTGTCTGGAGAGCAAATCTTCTCCAGCCACCCCTCCCTGCACCCGCTGAGCTCTCATCTTTTATTATTGTTGTTGTTGTTTTTACTGTTAACCAAAGTCCATTATAGTAAGTAAGAAAGAATGAGCACAAAGCCCAGCGTCCGATCTCAGCACCATCACACAGGGAGCAACACGCCATCAGGATTCTCCGAGCCCAGAGTTTCTGGGGTTTCTGGGCAGCTCAGGAATAGGTGCATCCCCACACGTGTGCTTGGTGAATCCTTAGTTACTATTTTCTAAGAAAATCGTTCCACTGATACTAGAACAGAAGTGCCCCAAGGGTATCTGCCCTAGGTAACCCGGTGTGTTGTTTGTGATGATTTCTCTTGTGCAAAATGACCTGCTGTGATCACCCACCCCCTCGTGGCTTGTGTGGGGGCTCTGGGTGTGTCCAGGTCCCTCTGGTGTAATTGTGTAACAAAGAGTCACCTGGTGAGATCTTTTAAGGACAAAATTAGCTTAAAGCTGTTTTGCTGGGTGTTAAATTATTGCCAATTCCAAAACTCTCTCTTAGACTCTTTTGAAGGTAGAGATTTTATTTTAATTAAACAATAATCAAAAGCCATGGACTATGATGCATTTACCTGCTCGTTTCAACTATGGCTATTATGCTATATCCGTCTTTGTTTTATTGCATTCCACAAATGAACAATTTCATAGAATTTCATTGTCAATCAATTTAATCACCTTGTGTGTCTCCAGTGACTCTATTAACCCATCATTTACAATTTATAACATGAAAAAGGCAAGCTTCTCAGGAAGGACAAAGTACAAGAGAAAACGAGGATGTGGATGGGAAAAGGGGCGTGTGGAGAACTTCACAAGGAGTGGGTAGCTTGTCCCTCCCGCTGCTGCTTGTTACAGAGACGGCCTCTCCCTCGGGCCCCGCAGACACCCCGAGGACAGAGGCTTATCCGACAAGCGCCCTGCCTGCCTTCCCAGAAAAATGACACTCTGTGAAAATTCCAGCAGGCCACCTCATTTCTGCCGGGAGGTCACCTGGGCCATGGTGACTTCACAAGGACCCACAGTGCCCTCGCCTCTCATTTCTTCCCAGGCATCAAAGTTGCCCTGCAAGGGGCATACGAGAAGGCCCAGAGGTGCCCCTGCCGGCCTGTCGCAGTCCCCAGGTGCCTCAGGTGCCAGAGGAGGCAGAACCTGAGAGCAGGTGGTCAGGGTGGTGGGGACTGTAGGAGAAGGGTGCTGGGCTATGGGCTGCTCAGTGCACCTGAGTGACCTGGAGGGACCGCCGATAGCCGTGGAGGGGAGTGGGAGGGAAGACTCAGCGTGCTCCACCGCCCTCATACTTCTTGGACCTCCGCGTGGCCGGCCTTGGAGCTGCTCGCGGATCCGCCCTCAGGTCACGCCGCCGAATGTCTGAGCGTGAGCCCAGCGCGCCTCAGCATTTGCCAAGGTTAATGAAAGGAAGTGATAACTCAGCATTTATTTCCTCCTCCTGGATTTCGTAGCTGTAGACCTCACCCTACGTCAAATTCCTCTTTCAAAGCTTTGGCTCCCCCGAAGACAGCCGGCCTCCAGGAGAAGATCAGCCCGCCCACCGTGGGGTCTGCAGGGGAAACAGATGAGCCTGGCTCTGCGGACAGCCAGGGACCACGTGGTCCATCCTGGAAAGCATCCTCCTGCTTGGACGGTGATAACATGCTACTTCCGCAGGTGACAGACCTGCTCTCTGCTCGCTCCTGGGAAGCGTGTCCCTGTGGGGAGCCTGCGAACCAAGCTCTCGGTCCATCAGCTTGTGGTGTACGTTGTTTGAAAGTTACCGCAACTACAGTTTAATGCTAATTACACAATTTCGCTTTTTCTAACCAGAAAGAAGGAGAGGGAAAGTGAGGAGCACAGTTGGATGCTGGCGGCAGTGCGGGCTCCCGGGCGCCCTCTGTGCTCGCTGCTGCTCCACCCTCCACACTGCGAAACAGTCGTCCACGGAGGCAGAGCGCTCGCACGTGTGAGGATGTGCGGTGGATGTGGCTCCCCACAAGGGATTTTGCAACTTATTGAAGTCATTGTTTCCAGAATAAACCATGTGTCATTCTCTCCCTTAGTAATGAGCATCTGTGTGATGGAGCATTTGTCTATTTTGGGAAATGTTAATTAGACAGAAGCCTTGGTAGGAGCAGGCCAGAGTCCCCCGTCAGTCTGCCGGGCAGAACCCGTTGTCTTGTGTCCCGGGCACCCGTTCTCCGAAGCAAGACTCCACTGACGTTGGCCATGGCGTGGACAGCACTTTCTGCCTCTCAGTCCTTTAATTCTGTGCGGCCTTAGGCAAAGCAAAGCCTCCGGGTTTAGCGACTGATCTGTAAGATGAGGCGTGAGTTCCTGATAGCCCTCCAGTCAGGAAAATCCTCAGCACGGAAGGAAGGGCCGCTCCAAGCGATGGACTGTTACTCCACCAGAAGAAGGTCTACGCTCATTCAAGGAGGAACCTTGAAGTCATTGCGCTAAGTGGAGGAAGTCAGACACAGAAACCAAATAGTGTATGATTGCATTGAAATGAAAAGCCCAGAACAGGCAAAAGTGAACTGGTGGTCGCCAGGGACTGGGGCTGGGGGCAGGGCGTGGGACGGGGAGGGGGACATGACTGCTTAAGGGATTTCTGCTTGGGGCCGTAAGAAGGCTCTGGAACTAGGTAGGGATGGTGTTTGCACAACAGTGAGACTTAATTCCACTGACTTGTGCACTTTAAAACGGTTGAAATGATAAATTATATATTTGGGTATTTTACCACCAAAAAAAATCCTATGACTCAGCCCAGGGGCCTCTCTGGTAACCGTAGGAGGTATCATAAGCCTTCAACTTTTCTCCACTTTCCACAGATGTTATCCAGTTTATCCACATGATTCAATGCTTATCAGATGATTCTCATTTCGTCTAGTTGTGTCTGAGTAAAAGCATTTCCTTTCGAAATCTATTTCCTAATGTGCTCATTAAAAAGCAAGCTCCCCAGGCGACTCGGGTAACACGTGGCTTCTGCTCCCCGGTGCCCTAGGGGGCCTGTCCCTGGCGCCTCTGGAAGCCTCTCTGGGGACTGAGTTCTCACACTTCGGGGTCGGGGCCAGGAGGGAGTGGCCCCAGCGTTCTGCATCTCTGCATCTGGTGGGGGTGGTCCAGGAGCGATCACGGCCAGCAGTTTGCTCCCCAGAGCCAGACCGTCCAGGCTGGTTCCAGGCGCAGAGATCCCCCAGGGCGGCTGCCGCCACCAGGGGTGATTCCTGGAAAGTGGGGCTCTGGCTCGGGGCTCTCTCCTGTCCTGCTCTGCTGAGGGCTGGGAATGGGGCCACGCAGTGAGTGTGTTGTGGGTGCTGCCCCCAGAGGGAGGTGAGGGTGACACAAAACCATGGCCGGAACTGCTGTGACATTTATTACTGTCACTGCCCCGCCGCTGGATTCTAGAGCTGGCCTGCCAACGTGCAGCAAGCCAAGTCAAAGAAAGAGAATTCCCACCACATTAAAATTGTAAACTTCTAAATACCGAAAAAGAGCCTGATAATCAGAATTTTACATGAACCAGGAAGTATTTATGATGTTTTACAGGGGACCAGTACTGTAACTAGACAGAGTCCTTCAAAATTCAAAAGAAAACAGGCAATTGTACTGCAGAAAATAAGGGAAAATATGGACTTACAAAATAAGACATTCATTTGGCCAATGAATATATAAAAAGTGTTGAACTTCAACAACAGCCAAGAAATTGAAAATAAAACAGGGCGATATTATGTTTTATTAAATTGGAAAAAGTATAAAGATGAGCCCCAGGATTGAGGAAGGTGTGCCAGGCCGTCCTGCCCTTGGCAGTGAGCAGATGGATTATAAAATCTTTCTTAGAGATTCTGATAGATAAGAAAAGATTTTAAAACAGGAAACACCCTTTGAGGGCGCATTCCACGCCTTAGGGCAGTGGTTCTCAACCTTCTGGCCCTTTAAATACAGTTCCTCATGTTGTGACCCAACCATAAAAGTATTTTCGTTGCTACTTCATAACTGTAATGTTGCTACTGTTATGAATCGTAATGTAAATATCTGATATGCAGGATGGTCTTAGGCGACCCCTGTGAAAGGGCTGTTTGACCACCAAAGGGGTCGCGACCCACAGGTTGAGAACCGCTGCCTTAGGGCCTATGGAGTGAATAATTACTGACATGTCCTGGGAAGTTGCTCCAATAAATTGTGGTTTATCCAGATGCAGGAACACGATGCAGTCAGCAAAATTTGTATCGTAAACAAACATTTAATAACATGAAGGGGAAGGTTACGTGGGGGGCAGATCATACGGTCTCAGGTTGAAAATTCCAAGTGTGTGCTCACACGGCGTGTTTATCTCAGAGCGATGAGAGGGAAGTCTCCAGGTCAGCGATTTTCATCCTTCTTCATCTCATGGCACACAAACTGATTACTAAATTCTGCGACACACCAAGAAATACATTTTTTGCTGATCCGATAAAAAAAAAGGTATACTTTGATTCATTCACACTGACAGCTACTGTTGTATGGGCTGTTGTCATTGTTTTAACTGACCACCAAAGGGAAAGGCGGTCCATGGCCCTGACTACAGAGGCAGGTGCCGCCGCCTTAAACATCCTTGCAGCTCCCTGGCTGAAAATCGCTGCTCTGGACCAAAAGTCAAGGGAAGACCTTTCTTTCCTTCATACTGGTCTTAGTGCTTTTCTTTCTTTTCTAAATTTTCTGCAAATGCCTGGTGTGACTTTTGAAATTTGAGAAAAGAAACCAGTGCTTTTTAAAGAAAGAGTGGGAGTCACATCCCAGCCATCCCTTCCTCTGCACTGTGGTTCCCTCTGCCCCCAAACCTCCCCAACCCCAGTCCCTCCCAGTACAGCAGTGAGTGCTTCTGCCTCTCCCACCCCCACCCCCACCCCCTCCTCAGAGAAATGCCTTCCTGGACCCTTGCTCCGGTGTGAGGCCTTTCGTTCCGAAGTCGCACAAGAACGCACGCGCCTTACAAAACGCAGTGTGTGTCTTCTGCACCCGCAGTGAAGCCCCTGCTGCATTTATATGCCACGCCTCAGATGTCAAGGCAGTTCATTGTGTTCTTCCAGAACGTGGCACCGCGGAGGCCTGGCTCCCTCAGGGACCCTCGGGCTGGCCTCTGCACACGGCCTTGGTTACGGGCTTAGCTCATCTTCCTCCCACGCGCTCGCCCCACCCTCCGTTCCCGCGTCCTCGTTTGTCTTTATTTCCTTGTTCTTCTCCATGTATTTGGGGTTAGATATTCTTCAGTGTGAACCATTTCCCATCGGTGGAAGCACAGTGAACTCACTAACTCTTCCTCTACTGCTCCTCCCAGGGCAGGAGAGCAGGAGGGCCGGAGGGCAGAGGGAGGAGGGCAGGGGGCAGGAGAGCAGGAGAGCAGGAGGGCAGGAGGGCAGGGGGCAGGAGAGGAGGGCAGGAGGGAGGAGGGCAGGGGGCAGGAAGACCCCTCCCAGCCTTGGGAGGTGTTCATACTCACCAGTCACTGGGAACAAATGAAAACCCCTGCTTCCTGGCTCTGGTCTCCCAGGATGAACGGAGGTGGGGGGGGGTAGGGGGGGGGGT